GAAAACATCATGAGGATTATTCTTCATTAAATTTCTGCCAATAGTTCCCTTTCACCTAAATCTTACACACTGGACCTTTAAAACAAGTCCAGAACTAACTAATTCCTCACAGCATTGGTATCGTTGGTGCTGATGTTTCTGATATTCAAAACCCACATTTACAATAAACTCAATTGCTTCCTTCCACAAAAGACCTTCAGTCAGTCAGTCTTTGACTTTGCTATGAGGATAAAGGAGAAATTTTTCCACTCCAAAACACAAAGCTTCTAAAATAATGAGTAGATTTACTTACTCAAAATCGATGCTTAATGATTAGCTGATGTAAAAATGATACACGTTCATGAAATACTGCTCAGCCTCTTCAGGTAAAAGAGATCAGGTCCTCATCCTATCCAGTGTTGTAATATTAAGGCAATATATGTACGACACAGAATCATCCATTCCATCTTAAAAACTTTTTTTTTTTACCAATTAGTGTTTCTGTCTTCATGCAGACCTCTTTTTGTCATGTGCTGTTACTTGAAACATCAACACAATTAAAAGTAACCAGGAATTAATTTAATTTGCTTCACTGGGTCGTTACGTGAGGCGACTCCTAACATGATGAGTAAATGACTATTCCAATATGACAAGTTAAAATGATAAGGTCAGTGCTGCTGAACAAAAGCAGGACAGTTTGCTGTCGTTCGACAAAAGACTAGATTACGCTCATGTTAAATAAACAATGAATTTGAGCGAGTGAACATGAACAGATTGATTTGCAGTTAGCGGCACAGCAATTAATCTTACACCGCAAGTGAGTGTACAGGGGGAAAAAAAGAAGACACGAAGACAGAAAAAGAAAATACAATGAGCACCATTGTGGAATCAGCATTGTTTCATGCCATTGTCAAATGTAATGTACTGTACTTATTACAAGCTTTGTCTTTCTCCGCCTCACAGAGGGTTCCCACTCAGTTGTTGTAAAATTTCATTTCCTTATGACAATCTGGAAATTGGATAATTTTATTGGTCTCTCGTGCAGGAGGACGCCAACACTCTAAATAGGCAGATGAGTCCATGGTTAGTTTCTTTGGAAAATAACTAATCATAATCACAACGTCAGATTTTATTTTGCAGCTTTGCATTTTATTTTTCTTGTGTTGTTCCATTTGATTCCCTGAAAGCGAGGACATTCCTCTTGAGGAAACACGTCTGTACACACTTGTGTGAACATTTGGCACCAAACTTTGCAACTTTTAATACTTCGGAGACATGCCTTTTTTGTCTTAGCTGTGATAAACGCCTGTTTGGACAAACATGCAACACATCCTACACACACACACATCTCAAGCTTCTCCTTCTCAACACACACCCATCTATCCAACCACACACACTCATGTGGATATTATCAGCGGTGCTCAGCTGAGGCTCCAGGCCTGTCCGGTCCCCACGGCGTTGCAGTGACCAGGGGAGGAAAGGCTTATCTCGGCCCCAAGCCCCTCCCTCGGCCCCATGCCTTGGCTCCGGGTGCTGGGAGGCAGATGCCATGCAGGCCCCCAGTGTGGCGTGTTTCTGTGGCCAGAGCGTATAGTGTTCAATGCTTGAGGGACAGGCTTTTGAACCAGACAGTCCATCGTGTGTGTGTGTGTGTGTTTTGTGCAGGCCACACAGCAGATGGAGGTACAGGCTTTTAGTATGACCAACTCCCCCTGGCTCACCTGGACCTGATCAGAGCATTTGGTACACACACTCTCTCTCTCAGACACATACACACACACACACACACGCGCGCAGACTTAGCCAGCTGTACTCCCTGGATAGTAATAAATGGGACTGAATTATAACCAGGTGTAGTGTTATTCCAGGAAAATGTTCCCTTTAAATTCATGAGGACGTGATCAGTGGGAAGGGATGCCACACGACGATGAAGATGAGACGGTGATGATGACAATAAAGATTAGTGATGAGCCAGTGAGAGAACCTTTAAAAACCAAACGTTCATGCTGTTTTTTTAGGAATTGATTTCCCTTAATACCATTTCCCTCATGAGCAGCTGAAAGAATCCACCACCTCCTCACATTTACAACTTGTCCTCAGTGTCACACTGCAGCACCATCTCCATTCACCACAAACTATTTCACTCATTGAACCCGAGAGCGTTTCACGAGACAACAAAGGCGAGAACAGGTGCTTTTTTGGAGAGAGCATCTGAAAAACTCCAATTGAGTCTTAAAGAGACAAGGTTAACAGCTCCCAAAAGCTCCTTTCGTCTCAGCGAATTATGCTAAGTGTTCACAAAACATTGGTCTAAATATAGGGCTGGAACGCGCCGCAGATTAGCCTGCGCACTGATGGTTCTATAAGACGGCAGCATGGAGCTGTCTCCCTCCTTTGACTGGCAAGGCTTTGAACCCCACAGCTCAAAATCACTCCGCAGTGTGAAAATATCAGCAAGTGTGTGTGTGTGAGTGTGTGTGTGTGAGTCTTCCTATTAGCCCGTCTGTGTATCCTCATACACAACCCGAGGAACGGATGGTTTTTCTGTGTTCCGTGCAAATCCTGTGTGTTCAAATGATGGGTTGAAATTGCTGGAATATAAGCTGTAAAGGAGCACTGCAGTGGAATGGAAAAAAAGATTCTCCTGGAGTTTATTCTAGAGCAAGAGCACCTTCCTCTTGTTTAAAGGTATTAAAGACAGATTTAGGTTTTGGTTACAATATCACACAAGCTTGCAACCCCCCGGAAACGCCAAACGCTTCCACTTGCTCAAGTCCTGTTTCAGCGAAGACTCTCGCTCTAATATTTAGTCTTTCGCTTTGATGTGTAATCACACATGCGCACTTCTACCACTCGAGCACAATGCATTCGCTGAGATAAAGTGACTGCAGTGTATGACCCATTTTGCAGATGCAGGGTTTTGCTTTTATAATGACGGAGTGTGAGCGACTGGAGTGTGTGAATGTACAACCAGCATTGTACACCGGGATGATGCAGCACGACGGGATTTAAAATCTTAAAAAAGAAGTGCTGGGCTGGTTTCTGGTTAAGAAAAAAAAAATGCTACTGTCACACGTCCAGTCTTAAAGCCGTTAGCCATACTCCCCCTGGGGCGACAGGCAAGACGGTACTGAAAGTGCTTGCAAGTAGCAAAGAAAAGAGGAAGCATCATCTTTGGTCAAAGAGAAACATTTTTTAAAATCTAGTGCGGAGGGTGTTGTGAAACATTTCATGTTCCTTAAGTGTGACGACATGCCTCGAAACCTCTGAACAAACTCCTCAAGCATTTAATAATCATTGTTTCACGGTGTTGGGGGAGCGAGGTGGAGATAATGTTTTGTGTCTAGATAACGCATTTGCCTTATTCCTGCTGCCTCCCCATTAACGCATGAGACAAATGGAATGGGTGCATTGCCTTGGAGCCATCCAAACGAGGGTGTCTGCCATGAAGTGAAGGGAGGAGGAGGAGGAGGAGGAGGAAGAGGAGGAGGAAGAGGAGGAGGAGGGAGGAGGAGGAGGAAGAGGAGGAAGAGGAGGAGGAGGAGGAAGAGGAGGAAGAAGGATGAAGTGGGGGGGGGTCCAAGTGCCACAAAAATCAGGGGAGCGGCTGCTCGGCCCTCACGGCGCCTCACGGCAGCAGTCAAGTGAATGTGAAAACAAGAGAAAGCTTTGCGGAATATTGATTTAATGCCGTAGCCCGAGCGGGGGGGGTGGTGGGGGTTGGAAGATGTGCGCTCCAGATTACTTGCGCTCTATTTCCCAACCATACAGAACCTTGAGTTCCTCTGCCTCCACCACACAACCTGAGAACCAGAGAGAGGGACAGAGAGAGAGAGAGAGAGACAGCGCTTTGTGTGGCGTTGTCCTCTGTGAAGTCCAACTGCAAAGATATCAACGCGGATGCAAAAAGAGGAAGAACAAAGATGACAAATGTAAAACATGTCATGCTCCCTTTTTTCTACATGTCAGAGAGATTATCACGGGATATGTTGTTGTCACTGCAGGACCAATAGGTTGCATCACTTCCTGTCATTTGCCTTCCTCTGCCCAACTTTTAAATAATGAATCAAGCTTCAGAACTCGTTAGAATCAAAACATACATTGTAAAGGTTCCCTTACGTTGCTTAGTGCGGAAACATTCACTATAAACCCGGTGGCCTTTTTAGAAGGATAACATGTGTAGCATTGGTATCTTATACATTATCATCGGTGGGCTTTAAGGTTAGGGTTAGGGACCATATGAGACACAATGTGATGATTTATCCCTGCTCTTAAAGTCAAACATAACACTGCTGCTGTGTTTGTTACATCAAATGCAGACACACGTGAGCTCAGTTAACACAAGTATTTCCACAATAAAGTACTAATAATCTTATTATCTGTGCTACTTAGATAGAAAAACAAACCTCTGGAAACATTAATGGAAAGAAGGTAACAAAAGATGTTATTAATATGAAGCCTGAAATCAAACTGCCAGTAATTCAACCTGTTGTGTTTTTAGATGATTCTCCCGAATAGACTTCTCTTCACTATTAGTGTTGGAAACTTACACATCATATTTTGCCTTATTTACTTGAAAGTGTCCTCGGCTGCCAGCCACATGTAAAAGTTGGTGTGGACTCACCAGACATTCAGCCCTCTCTCTCTCTCTCTCTCTGTTTTTCATAGAGGAAGCAGAGTGTGCACGTTCTCCTCACTGCGCTTTCGTGCAACTCGATGACGAGCGAAAAAAAAAAAAAGAGACAGAAGATCTTTAGAACAATTTGTTACTTAATGCCCCCTCCCCACCACCGACCCCCCCCTCCTCTGGCTGCTGAAAATTATGAACAGTGCGCCGCACTCACATTCTTGCGCACGGCCGAAGCGAAGGAGGCGCCTCCGCTCCCGGTGCTCTGGACCAATGGCGCGCAGGAGCAGCCTCATCACGCTGATCCGCGGCTGGCCAATGGCGCAGCCCCGCCCGGCTCACATGACGCCTTTCTGTGCGCTCCCTCTCCTCTCAGCGCACAATCCCGGCGAGTGCGGGCATCACTGAAGACCTGACACCGGCGGAATCGGACGTCCGCGGTGTCCTCCTCTGCACAATTTAGAAATCCGATGGTTCTCTTCCGCAAAACTATCACCGCCGGCGCATGAAGCTGACCCGATGCTATCACAGAGAATGAGCGCGCTTCGCCGGGAGGAGCACAACAGCTTTTTCCGTGTCCAAACGCTCGGAGGGGCGCAGGGGCGAGACAATAACGCCCAGAAGTTATTGAAATGAATCGTAAGTAGGCGATATTATATTTTTTGTATCATTTAATCCCTTATTTATCGCTAACAGTTCGTAGTTACCTCGTATCTATTATCTTTTTGAAGTTTGTTCTGTGTAATATGTATGGCTCCATGTGTCACTTTTGCGCCCTGTGCGCTCTTTTTGTCCTTTTTGTTTACATTCACATGTGAATTAAAGCTTTAAAAACCGCTTCAATCGCTGCATTATATGTTTTTCACGTTGTGCTCAATGATGTGAGAGTTCATCCAGCTCCGTGCGCACTGGCTGTGCGTCTCTCTCAGTGTGGATGTGGATGTGCATGTGTGGCTTGTCTCTTCGCAGCGCCATAGCATGAAATATAGATTTAAAAAAAAGAAGCACACTGCAAACCCTCTGACCCCAGGCAGGCAGTGCAACCGGTCCACACGGCTCAATGAGGACAATTAGAGGGGGGGGGGATGGGGGGGGTGGACAAGAGGGGAGAGAAAAAATGGAGCACTGAAACCAACAGGGCTGCACTTCTCTTCAACCAGCCAGACAGGATAAGGGTGGATCTTCAACAACCATGTGTCATTTCCAACCCAGGATATGACCAAAAAAAAAAGAAGAAAAAGAAAATGTCCCTAAGAGAAAAAAGAGGGCTGTACTGGGAATGCTTTTATTTTTAGAGAATGAGCAAACAAGCATCCCTGTCAAATTCCAGTCTGACAAGAGACTCTTTGAGGTCATGTCACTCACTGAACCCTTTTATTGATTAGAAGTGAGTGGTACCCTTTTTCTTTCCCTGATTTCTGCACAATCAGAGGGAAAGAGCGTGAGGGGTGGGTGGTGGTGGTGGGGAACGGGGCCATTTGATGTTTTGAAAGGCTTCAGATGGCTTTAATTAGGACCTATAAAATCTGTCTGCCCCATTCTCTGAGGCGGCGCTGCTCTGGAGGAGCGAGAAGGGAGGGGAACTGAGGAGAGAGAGAGAGGGAGAGGGGGGAGAAAAAAGAAAAAAGAAAGAAAAGCAAACCGACACAGAAAGTCACTTCAGCAAAGGATCATCTAATCAAATTTTTATAACCCTCTCTCTTTTTTTCTTTATCTCCCCCCTTTTGCCTCACACCCTCCCTTTCCTTGATGCTGGTGGTATGTAGGCAGCCCTCTTATTCCCTCTTTGTCTGGCTGCTGTGTTATCTATAACCCCCCCCACACACACACACACACACACACACACACACACACCCACCCCCATTGCCTCCCACCACCCCTCAACCTCACAACCGCCAACAGTCGGTCCGACCCCAGTCACCTGAAGGCTAGACATAATGATCAAGAGAAGTTTCAGTCTGTCTGGAGCACGGCCAGTTTTTTTTTTCCTTTAGTTTTTCCTCTCGTTCTCTTCCTTCTCTTTTTCTGTCCTCCTGCTGGCCTGGCTCGGCCCTGCCTGTCCCTTCTCTACCTCTTTCCTCTGATATCATCACTATCATGCGTTTGTGTGTGTGTGTGTGTGTGTGTGTGTGTGTGTTATCGCCACTGCTCCAATTGCTGCCTCCTCTGTGTATGGATCTTGCATGTAGGGTGGGTGACTCACACAGCTGCAACACACACACACACACACTCATGAGGAAACATCAAAGACTTCTTCTTCTTTGTGTGTCTGTGTGCGAGAGGGTGAGATTTCAGCGCCGCTGTTTCCTGTGAGCGTCGGCACGACTGTAGGTATGGCACGGTGCCTGTAGTTATTTTATTCCATTTTGTTCAAACGTGCTGTGCTACTTGGTTTTCTCACATACTTTCTAATTATATCACTGCTCAGATGTTTTTTCTTCTGTACAAGAGACCCTGAAGCTCGATGTTTCCTTGTGTTTTAAGTTTTTCCAGTGTGAAAATAATTCTCACACTTAATCTTGGGATTGGGTTCAATAAAACATTTGTATTATTATTATTATTATTATTAATAAGCAAAGATTGAGACTTTTGAGCTTCAAAAATAAACACTATCATGCTTGAAAATGAAAATGTTAACTGTGCTGGAGGTTTTAAACGAGGCCCTCGGATGCTTTCTGTCGCACCTCGACTCTGGTGGTTGGCGTCTTAGAGTTGGGGCTTAAGGCGAGGTGGCTTCTGAAGAAGGAAAGCGCTAATTAGACGTGGGAGTTGGTGAAAATGCTTCGATATGTGGACTTTGATTTTTGACAGACATCTTCGGGAGTGTTTTCCTTTCAGAGGAAGACACGTCTTTGTTTTCTCGATGTGTGTTGGTTGGGGATTACATCATTTGGCTGCTGCTGGGTAAGCTAGATAATAAGCTAGCTTGCTTTATGCAAAATGGCTGGTTGGAGTGGACTCTTTGTTGGACGTCTTTGCTTGACAACAGTGGAAATCCGAAGTGGAGTTGTACGCAATGTTTTTCTGTGTTTCTACTTGAACGAGGTTAATCGTTTTTGTGCATATTCCGAGTTGTTTTCTTCAAGCGTTCGTTGTTGATCGACTTGTTTGTTAAAAGATTATCCCCTATAACAGCTGGAGTGTGTTCTCTCTTTGTCCGCAAACCATGTAATCTTCTCTGATGTGTTGTTTTTGAAGAACACGGGTTGGTAACATTTGCACAGGGCTCTGGTCGAAATCCCACCACTTGTTTGTGAGTGTTTTCTCTCCGAGGGCTGACTCTTGTGTGTATCATGGCATCAAGGAGACGGAGGATGTCTCTTCCTCTGCCACCACCCTTTGAAGGGGGAAGTAATAAAAAGCTCAATGGGTGCAGCAAGCTGTTCTGCCCTCCTACACTTTGAGGCTTTCTACCTGGAGATGAATAGGAGGCCCCTCCGTAACGAAGGGGGAGAGGAGAACATTTTATTGAAGGCTGAGGATGTGGGGGGATGCGCTGAAGCTTATAGACACTCGGTGTGAAATCGTCCACTTTACAGGAAAGTCAGTTTGACACGAGAACAATTATTATTTTAAGGTTCTGCAAAGGCATCATTTTCACAAGCATCACTAACCTGTCAACATGTTTGAGTCAGAAAGATGCAAATCTATTGTGTTTAAGTAGGTCAACAGGGTTTTATGTAAACATCACTAAATCCCATTCAAGTAAAATACTGTCTTTATAGCATGATTATACAACATCCATGATAATAACATCGGACAATCACAAAGCCACAGATTAGGATTTTCTCTAACCAAGGAGTGAAGTCATGGTCAGGAATGTAAATGGTGGAGTCATTCAATTACCACCGTGCCCTTTCCTGGGAAAAGTCTCCAGCCGTGAAGAGGTTAATTGTTTTTGAATCTCCGTCCAAGGGGAGAAAATGAGAGAACAGGAGGGATAATTGAGCCACTGATAGTTGAGTGGGTTATGGATTACCGCAGTGTTTCCAAAAGGAGAAAAGGAAAAAGGAAGTGCATATGAGAAAAAGGAGGGAGATGTGAAAGGCCCATATTGTGCAACGCAGCCGCAGGGATCGTCTGGCCCTCTCAGGAAGAGGGAGAACTCCAATCCTGACCCCTGACCTCTCACATGCCCCTCCTTGCTCCAGGTGCAAGTCCTCACTGCTGGTGGCTCGCTCGCTGACACAAACCACAAGCTAATTTTTCACACAGTTTGCAAGCGCTCGGGGGAAACGCTGCATGAAAAACGCAGATCCTTTTCACATTTTCACCCCCACCCTGCTTCTTTTCCCTCATTACATTCTATTGTCAGAGGTTAAAGATCCTAGTTGGAGTGGGGGGGCGGGGGGAGTGTTGTGACGATATCGGGCCTCTTTCATTTTCCCCCCCTTCCTTCCTCTGAAATATGTTCTCGCCAAGAAAATGGATGACTGTCTTCTAACGGGGCGGGAAAAAAAAGATGATCTGACATGGTGCAATAATCACAGGAGTGTTAATCAGAGGGATGTCATGAATAATTAGTACAGTGTTTGATAACACCACCGCGAACCACCTCAGGCCATTCGTGAAAGTTTCTCAGTGCCATTAATGTGCGTTAATAAAATTCAAGGAACCCCGGATGGAACGAGACCTCTGCATGGCCCACTGGTTAAAGCGCTGTAAGGTTAATGAACCAATTTACATACTTTCTGCTGCCATCTGGGTGGAGCGATGAGGCAGATGCTCCCTGCACTGTACTGTTGAACTGTACCGTTCAACATGGAGGAATGTGTCAGGTCTGTGGAGGTCGATGAGCACGTTTAACAGTTACTCAAAAACAGTCATGAAGGAAGCGTCGATCAGGCTGCTTATGATTTTAATTAACTGCGAAAGGGAGCTTTTCTTTGAGTGGATGTTAAATGTGGTCGGCATCAAATTTGACCACAACTCCCATGTCGACAACCGTAGCGATTGTTCTACTTAAAAAGTGACGCTTATGTGTGGATTATACCCTGACCCCTACTCACGTCAGGAAGAGGGGAGTCATCTGGGCCTCAGGCAATGAGAAAGTCCCCCCCAAAAAATCTCTGCAGACGATGCTAGGGACTAAAGAGAGGATTAGTGTCTGTCCACCTCGCTGCCATCCTCATCTGGGTGATCACGTTACAAATAGAGCATTCTCAAAGCATTTTTTTAGCGGGAGGAACAAAATGAGGTCTGTCGGCGATCAATAACGCAGTGTGAAGGCAGAGAGATAGACTTAAAAAATCAAAGGCTCTGGCTGGCATGGCCATCATCTTGCCCCGTCTGCTGGAATCAGATAAGGGAACAGGGCCTTGCAGGAAAGGTTGTTTGGCCCCGGGGCAGCTCGACTCGACGGCTATCCCTCCCACTGGCACCCGTTGCAGGCTGATTTCATCTGCAAATGGGCAAAACCAAACACGTCTCAGGATCTATCTAGTCCCTCTTTGATACTGTACATGTGGAAGAGCTTGCTGAGGGGATAGATGGGTAAAATGGGAGCATAATATATAATCCATGGGGCGTGTATTTGGGGAAAATGCGCAGCTATTCCTCTAACCCCTCTGTTGTCCTCCGTGGATGATGGCTTTTACCTCACGCTTCACTTACATGATTTGGAAAAAAACCCTGGTTTT